TGATATGTTTTGATACATATCTAAACACCAATTAGCAATAGATATAACTATAGTTATAGGTGTATTAATCCATGAAAAGATACATTTACATTGAAAATGTACCTTTATGTGAATGGTTGTAATGTTTAAAGAGGATGCATTCATTCATGAAATGACACTTCTGTTTTTATTAATTCTCCAGAACATTTACAGACTTGATTTATGTTCTAAAACTCAATATTATTGTTAGTTATTGTGTTCAAGGGTTTGTTGTATCTTGAGGGTAATTTGCCATTAAAACTTATTAGCAAACTTTGAGAAGTGAGGGCAAATAAAACCTTAAAGAAAAGTATTCCTATACGCCTTAAACCCTCTCTTGTTTCTGTATTCTTTTCACCCTCTACACTCAAATTTCTCCAACAGTTACATACATATATATATGTGTGTATATATATATATATATATATGACATAAGATCCAAATTATGTAATACGTATGTACGAGTTGTAGATGTTTTATTTGGCAAATAATCGTAAATATAATTTATCACTATGTCTAACATGCCTAAACATGTCTAACATGCCTAAGTAAAAGCCAAAGCAAAATGGTCCAACACACGTGCATTTAACATCAGCATAATGCATGCACCGGTCAGGATGAAATGTATGAGTGTCGCCATATAGAAAGGCATTTAATTATGCAATACAATCTTCCAATACGACAAATAGTATTGGACAAGTGCTAATAGTGATTATCTAGTATCATTGATAACAAAGATTCAGCAAAAAAAAATATATATATATATATTATAAAAATATCTTGCACTCTCACGAACCAGGAAAAAAAATAAAAAGGTTGGATAATGTTAAATGTCACATCTATCTGCTTTCTGTTATAGTGAAAGACGACACATTTTCTTTCTATGATCATGTGACTTGTTTTTAGTGGATTGCATCGCAAAACAAAGGGCGGTGAAAAAAAATATTTCTATAAATTATTGAAAATTCTATTTTCAACGGTTAAATTTATATAAAAATTATTTATATTATATGTTTTTTTTAATTTACATGATTTTAATTAGATTTAATAAGAAAAAAAAAACCCTTTAATGCTTTTGCAATAAGACACAACAACACAAAATTAGAACATTCATGATATTCTGTCTATGATTGTTTGATCCTACTTTATTACTATTGTTTTTTATGCGCATTATAAATTGCAATCAAATTATATGCACTCAATATGAATAAGCGTCATTTCCTCTTTATATAGATAACGTTTGATGAGATTCGGATATGTTTTGTCTCTAATATTAAATTTTGATTTATTAGAAATTCAACATTATGTTTATTTCTTAGAAACAACTAACACTGAAATAGAAACATACAGAGAAAATGATATTTGGTTTAAAAAAAGAAAAAGAAAAAGAAAAAAAGAAACTTAAAACATACAGAGAAAAGGATATTTGGTTTAAAAAAGAAAAAGAAAAAAAGATACTTAAATACTAAGAAAAAAAAGATTAGGATAAATAGATACTCTAACTCTTTAATTATTCCTTGACTTTTCAAGTGACATGTTTTCTTTAATTTTTGTTTCACTTTGAACCTCTATTAAAATTTTCAAATAACAAACATTTCCTGAGAAAGAATTTGATCGGGAAAAAGTTTATAATTCATAAAGGTGAAATTATAAGTGGAGAGATCGTATATTTTTCATTTCTTTGAAAATACTATAAATTAGGGAATCAAACTCTTACTTTTTTATTTGTATGCTCTTCTCAAATTGATATATAATGGGAGGAAATAAAAGCACAAATTTTATAGTGTTTAAAGGTCTATTTGAGAGAGTTTGTACTTTTACTTTTAAGGAGTATAAGAAGAGAAGCATAAATCAGAGTTTTTTAATTAGTGTTTGGATGATATATGTGAAAGTGCTCTTGAATATGTTTAGTAAATAAGTCAAAAGCTTTTATTATTACAAAAAGTAATGTAATAAAAGAATATGGATGAAATTTTTAATTTGTTGTTTACAAATAAAAAGTTTAAAAAATAAATAAATTTTTTTTTCATAAATTCTTTGTTTATAAGCGCTTAGAAGGTGACTTATCTTATAAAAGCCAAAAATATTTTTCTGTTGTAATCCAAACAGCCTTAATCAAATGCAACTTTTGAACTAAATAAGTCAAAAACAACTTTTTTTTAAGCCAATTCAAACAAGCCTAAGAAATAGCATAAATTGTCCCTTTAAAGAATGGGAAATCCTCTAAATTCCCCCTTCTTTCTATGTCTAGTTAACGAGGGGTATATTTTTTTATTTCTTTAAAAAATTTCTACTTGGCGTTAATGCAGGGGTATATATGACGGTGTATTTTTAATGAGTTTTACTAGAATTTTATTGAAGAATAAAATTATAATGAAGATGTATTATGATATGGTGGAGATATCTATGAATTTAATGGTACAAAGAAGAATATTCTTTTTTATGTAGGTGCTCCTCTAGTAAGGGAGAATGAATATTTATGATTACTTTTTTTTTTTGCTAGTTATATTTATGCTTACTTGAATATTAAGATTCTTGTCATGGTATTTTTTCTTTGACATTAACCTTAGGGTTACAAAATTCTAAGATAATAGTACAAAATTAAAGAGTTGTGTTAAGGAGTCACATTCCTTTTTTTTTTTTTTTCTCTTGGTGAGTTGACAGTTTTTAGTATTTGACTAATATAAGACTTTTGTGAAAGGATTTAAGCTTAATTTACACTCGTATGAGTTAATTACTTATATATCCATTATACATGAAAGGACAAAAAAATGTTCACAAGTAATAATATTTACATATAAATCCATAAATTACCAAAAAAATGACCTTTCTACCTTTTCTAATCCTTCCTTAAAAGTAGTTGATGACCATTTACGTTTTCTCTATACAAGTATATTTACATATGTGAATAAAGGTATATCATAACCGTTTTGGAATGTATATCACATTTCAAACGATACAAGCATATTTACGTATGTGAATAAAGGTATCATAACCGTTTTGGAATGTATATCACATTTCAAACGATAAATCCTAATTTTGTAGGATAAATAGAACCAAATAAAACCTCTGTTAAATGATCATTAATCATGTTTGAGACTTTCTAAATTCTAAGGGAAACGAACTTTTTTAGAGACAAGTTTAAAAGTTTCATTGTGTGTACAATCAGTTATTGCACATGCAATCAGTTTTTATTTTTATTTTTTAATTTTTTTAATTTTTTAATAAGAAAAGCTTTTTACAAATGCAATCAGTTATTGCAAAATGATTACTACCCACAAAAGGGTATAACCGGAACAATGTAATCTTAATAACTTGTAAAAGAATACATTAATAATTTATTTATAATATTGCCGATCTATGAAATATTATAAATTGAGAGTCTAAGAGTGGTTATTTAGTGTAACTACTTCATAAGTAATGACGAGACGTAAAAAGTAGAATGGGCGTAATTACTTGAGATATTTAGGTATTATGCCACAAAAAATCGGGTGGGATCAACATTTACCAGTGGAGCTAAAACTTCATTTTCTACCACAGATGTTCTTGTTAAATGACCATTATAGCCATAAACTAAACTCAGGATTTTCTTTTATCTTTTCCTTTCTCGCTCTCACCTCCCAATATCAGCCGCCAACCACATTCTCTCCCCATCTCACTTCCCAGGCCCCAGGCATCTCTCAGACTCTCACTTTCTCTCTCACCGTTGATGCTTCGTTCACCACCACCCGTCTTCATTTGGCCGACAACGTTGCCGTTGAATTGATGCCAATTTTTATCGAGGACCACCGCCGTCATGTGATCTCCTATCTTCTCTCGCATCTCTCGCCTCAGCCACGATTATGGGTGTTCACGGAATCTGTGAATCCGATTGATCCGTGAAATCCAATTAAATCCGAAGTTTTGGATCGGATTGAAAATGATTTTGGATCATATACGGATTTAGATTTTCTCAATCTGAAAGTTTTTGATCAGATTGCGGATTGTGCATTTTTCAATCCGTGAATTTGAAACCATATATATACATATATATAATATAAATTTTTATAAGTTAATATTTTTATTTTTAAAAAAATCTGGTATATACTTAGTGGCCCATATTTGATATCCCTACTACAAAGCCCATAATTGATGTCTCTACAAAGGCCAGCCCATTGTGAATCCCTAACTTTTTTTTTGCTTGAAGTAACTATTTAGATGTTTATTAATATTTCATGTTGTGTTTATTTTGTATGGATGTTTATTAATTTATATTTTTAAAAGTTAGAATCCGTGACTTCGTGAGTCCAATCCGCAAAATCCGATAGGTTTTGGATTGAACTGGATTATCTTCAAAAAGGTTTTAGATTAGACACGGATTGGATTTTTCTCAATCCGCAGTTGTGGACCGAATTACGGATCAGCCTTAAATCTGCGAATACGATCTGGATACCAATTCCAAAATATTTACCGACTGAAATACAATCTGAAATACCAATAATATTGTAGTTTTTTTGAATTTTTTCAAATATTTGTGATTATTTTGAATTTTTCCAAATACTGTCATTAATACTAGCGATTGTCTGATGGATACAGTCGGGTATCTTGTCTGGATACTGGTTTTGTGGTCAGAAATCGGCCGATATCTTAGCCGTATACTGGTATCGTGGTTTGAGACCTATCGGTATCCTAATGATATATTTAGTATTCTAAATATAATGTAATGATATGACTGTAATATTTTTTATAACAGTTTATGTCCTAACAATTTATGTCCTAGACATATGTCAATCCAAACTTCAGTGGTAGTTTTGAAAGCCCCAATTACTCTATCTATTGACCCAGGGCAAGAATGATCAGCCCACTGTAGGTCGGAGACAAGTTCAAATTTGGGCCTCGAGTAGAAAAGATAGCCCACCTCATTGGGGCCCGCAATGAATTCTGGCGGGAACTCATTTCCTCTTCCCGCCAAATTCAACGCTTTTATCATCGTCTCCCACACACCAAGGCCCCAATTCTCTCTCTCTAGCCATGGCTTCCGATTCTTCTCAGGGAAACTTCAACAATGGTAATTTCTTTCTCTCTCTACAGAATTTTGTTCATATATTCGCATGCTGAATTTCCTAGCCATTTCTCGTGCTTTCATTAACAGGTCCTTCCTCTCCCGATGACTCGTTCTCTAGCCCAATCGGAAACACCTTCTCGTCTCCGGGAGACGCTTCTCGCCGGAGAAGGAGGCGCCGATCCACTACTCCGTCGTCGTTCGCCACCCCTCCGCCGCCGCCGTCCTCCCGTTTCAGCAACGCCTCCTCGGAAGGAACTCCGACACCATCGCGTACTCGCCGGAATTCCGCATCCGGCAGGCGAAGAGCTCCCTCGTCGACGCCGATGCACAGTGCCGCCACTCCGACGTCCACCGACGACGCTCCGCCTTCCTCCGAAGGCGGCGAGGGTTTCGACATGGACGAGGACCGCCCTACGTTCGTCTGGGGCACCAACATTAGCGTCAACGACGTTAAGTCTGCGATTGTTAGGTTTTTGAAGAATTTTCGCGATCAACCGTCGCAGACTTCGGACGGGGAGTTTCACTTGGAAGGAAAGTATATTGATGCGATCAAGAGAGTCCTTGAAATCGAGGGAGATTCTCTCGATGTCAATGCCCACGACGTGTTTGATTACGATTCCGATTTGTACGCGAAGATGGTTCGGTATCCGCTTGAGGTCCTTGCGATTTTCGACATTGTTTTGATGGAAATGGTGCCTCTTCTTGAACCTCTATTTGAAAAGCACATCCAGACTCGGATCTACAATCTCAAAACTTCGACATCAATGAGAAATCTAAACCCTTCCGGTTAGTATCTTTTAACACATTTGTCTTTTTTTTTTTTTTTTTGGGAAAATTTGTGTTTTTTTGAGGAAGTTTTGTACTGACTGGATTTGGGTTTGTTTTTCTTTGTTTTTTGCTGTATAAATCAGATATTGAGAGAATGGTGTCTTTGAAGGGTATGATTATCCGTTGTAGTTCGATAATACCTGAAATTAGAGAAGCAATATTCAGATGCCTTGTGTGTGGTTACTACTCTGAGCCTGTAGCTGTAGAGAAAGGTAACTTTTGATTGAGATGTTATGCTCATTGGTTTAGTTTTTTGTTGTAGATGTTTTTTTTAGGTGTAAATGTGTTTACTGTTATGGACTTTTTTGAGTTTTTGTCAGGACGAATAACTGAACCCACAATATGCTTGAAAGAAGAATGTCAAGCCAGGAACTCCATGACACTGGTTCACAACCGATGCAGGTAACTCTGTAGCTTTGATTTGAATAGATTGAGCATTCAATGATTATGACATAACTGATGTTAAGCAGTAATATGGGAATCTTTATCCTTTACTCAAAAAAAAAAAAGTATTATGTTTTGTTCAAGAGGTGTTGTTTGTAATTAGGAAAAAAAAATCATTTTGGCAGCCCTGAATGTTTATTCATGGGAAGGAATCATTACATGAAATTTTGCTCTTATATTTTGAGCGTCGTTGGTTGTTGGTTGTTGCTTGCTAAGAGTTTATCAGTACGTAACTCTTCTCTGATTATTAATCTTCTGAATTCACCTGTCACAACCTCCAATTGTTTCCTGTGAAGTTATCATTCTTAGCTTCCGTAGCCATTTTTGGCCCGTGTAAAGTATGCCTATGGAAGATCTATACGTGTCTCAAATCTTCTGCATTTTGTGTTAGGAAAAATGAGTAACAAATGGCTGTTATAGAAAATGGATGTAACTGTTTAACAAAATGATTTAAAGTGGTAAATTGCAAGGAATGATGATTTATACCTAACTAGTCCTGCTTCCAAAATCAGGTTTACTGATAAGCAGATTGTGAGGCTCCAGGAGACTCCTGATGAGATCCCTGAAGGAGGAACGCCGCATACAGTAAGCTTGTTGATGCATGACAAACTGGTTGATGCTGGAAAACCAGGAGACAGAATTGAGGTTAAGAATCTAATGACATATCAGAGGATGTTATGTGATCTCTTGAAGAATGAAATTGTGTTTGTTTATTGTTCTTATTCAATGTATCAAAGAGTACATGAACATATATAGAGTAAATAAATCCCTACGCTACCAACAAGATTTGAAAATTAAACTATAAGATAAGATAAACTAATCCTCCTAACAGATAAGATAAACTATAAGATTTGAAAATTAATTCAAATATTTTATTAAAAGATAATACTCCTAATAGTTATCCCAAATAAATATGAGATAAAAGATCTATCGTAATTGACACCCCTCTCAAGTTGGTGCATAGATGTTCAACATGCCCAACTTGCTTGTGAGAAACTCGAAGTTCGATCTAAAGAGTCCCTTGGTGAGAATGTCAGCTAGCTGTTGTGTTGAAGGAACGAATGGCATACTTCCAGCCTCCAGCTTCTCTTTTATAAAGTGACGATCGATCTCAACATGCTTAGTTCTATCATGTTGCACAAGATTGTGGGCAATACTAATTGCAGCTTTGTTGTCGCAATACAACTTCATCAACATCTCAACTGATCTCCTAAGCTCATCAAGAATCTGTTTAATCCACAACATCTCACACACTCCATGTGCCATAGCTCGGTATTCAACTTTTGCGCTACTCCGGGCAACTACATTTTGCTTTTTGCTCCTCCATGTGACTAATTGCCCCATACAAAAGTGCAATAACCAGATGTAGACCTCCTGTCTGTAATGGAACCTACCCAGTTTGCATCAGTGTAAACTTCAATAGTCTTTTCCTCCCCTTTCTTGAAAAATAGTCCTTTTCCCGGTGTACCTTTCAGGTATTTTAAAATTTGATATACTCCTTCAAGATGTTTTTTACAAGGAGAGTGCATAAACTGACTCACAAGATTTACTGCAAAGGCTATGTCAAGTTGGGTGTGCGATAAATAAATCAACTTTCCCACTAATTTCTGTTATCGAGCTGTGTCAATCGATGCTCCATCCTTGCAATCTCCTAGTTTTTGGTTCGGGTCTATGGGAGTATCTGCAGGCCTGCATCCACTCATTCCGGTCTCATTGAGAAGATCCAGCACATTTTCATTGCGAGACAGCAATCCCTTTTCTTGATCTTGCAACCTTCATTCCTAGAAAGTATTTCAAGGTTCCCAAGTCTTTGATCTTGAATTCGTAGGCCAATTTTTTCTTCAATTGTTCCATCTCTGATACATCATCACCAGTGAAAATAATATCATCTGCATACACTATTAAGACCGCCACCTTACCATCCTTGGAGTGTTTCATAAACATGGTGTGATCACTCTGAGCTTGGACATATTCCTGATTCTTCACCGAATGAGTAAACTTTTCAAACTATGCTCTCGGAGATTGCTTGAGCCCATATAAGGATTTTTTTAGTCCGCAAACTTTGGAGTCAAACTTCTCTTCTAATCTAGCTAGAGAGGCCTGTACACTTCTTCCTCCAAGTCTCTATTCAAGAATGCATTCTTTACATCTAATTGTTGAAGAGGTCAATCGAGGTTTGTTGCAATTGAGAGAAGTACCCTCACTCTATTTAACTTGGCTACCAGGGCGAAGGTCTTAAGATAGTCAATGCCATAGGTTTGTGATAAGCCTCCCGTGCGTTATACATATGCTTGGAGGAAACACCACCACGTGTCAAGGTTGGCAGTTGAAGGAAGTGGAACGGGAAGTGCATGTGAAGGGATAACTCTAGTGGTTGCTGAGGTGGAGGGGGGCACTTGAGGAAAGGAAGAGGGGGTTGGCTGAGTCAGCAGGGGGTTAATAGTTAGTTAGTCCTTGGATTTGGTGAGAGGAATAAGAGTTAGGAGTTTAAATAGAACAGGGGGTAGACTAAGCGGGCATTGATTCATTTGTGAAACTTCCGAGAGAAGAAAGTCTAGGGAGAGCAAGGGATCTCTCGAATATCCCCATATTCTTTCTGTAACCAACTTCCGCCATTAATACAATCAAGCTTTTCTGTTAGTTTTCCTTCTGATTTGTCATAATTCAACTAATTGTGGATGGGAGCTTATCATTTTGGTATCAGAGCACTTTCTTGGAATAATGAGGAGGAACGACGACCGTGAAAAGGAGAGAGTTGAGGGAACGAGAGAAGAGTTCGTGAGGGAATTGGAGGTACGAGAGGAATTGAGGAAGATTCCTCGGCTGGAGCAAGGTATGGACTTGTTGTTGGCAAGAATGGAGGAATTGATGAAACTACAGAGCCATGAGCGGCAGGATCCTTAGACGGTCGGAGTCGATGCACCGGCGAGGCAGATGACGCCGGGGGAATAGATGAGCGAGAGAGTTAGGCCTCCGCGAGAATCTGGAATTCGCATGAACTGTCGTACTAGGCGTGTGGAGATGTCGACTTTGACGGCGAAAATCCCGATGGTTGGGTCTTTAGGGCTGAGAGGTACTTCACGATGAACGGTTTATCAGAGAATGAGAAATTGGATGTGGCGGTTGTAAGTCTTGACGAAGAAGCCTTGGCGTGGTTTCAATGGGAAGATGGCCGTCGGGTGATTCGGAATTGGGCAGAATTGAGAGTGATGGTCCTTGAGCGTTTCCGACCAACGCAGGAAGGCAGCCTGTGTGAGAAATTGTTGTCACTTCGGCAAGAATCATCGATGAGGGAATATCGAAGACAGTTCGAGGTCTTGGTGGCGCCGTTGAGGGACATTTCCGAGCAAGTTCTGGAGAGTTCCTTCGTGAATGGTTTGAAACCCGAGGTACGTGCAGAAATTAGATTGATTAAACCCGTGGGATTGGGCCGAATCATGGAAGTAGCCCAAAGGGTGGAAGAGCGTGTAACCTCTTAGTATGCGGCCCAAAGGTGCAAGGCCCACAGTACTCAAGTTGGAGTAAAAGGAACGCAATAAATGACTCTAAAGTGAGCCAAACGACTTCTAGTTTTGGAAGTGTAACTCGTTTCAGTGGGGCACCGACTGAGAGAGGGAAGTTCCTGGAGGAAAGAAAGCCAGGCAATCAGGGCCCAAGAATTGGAACTGGACCGACGCTGAACTTCAAGCGAAGAGAGAGAAGGACTGTATTACCGATGTGACGAAAAATATTTCGTCGGCCACCGTTGTCCGAACTGCGAGCTGCAAGTCTTGATAATTCGGGAAGAGGAGGATCAAGGGGAAACAAAGGTAGAGAGGGATGAAGCGCCCGGAGAAGAGGAGATGGTGGAATTATCTCTCAATTCGGTGGTTGGTTTGACGGCACCGGAAACCATGAAGCTTAAGGCGGTAGTCCATGGATGTGAGGTAATTGTTTTAATAGATAATGGGGCTACCCACATTTTCATTTCTTATGACTTGGTTCAGCAATTGAAAGTACCGGTGGATAAGACGGGGGGTTACGGTGTGGTGATGGGAACGGGGTTGACTGTGAGAGGAGAGGGCATCTGTCGGGGTGTGTTGGTTTCAATGCAAGAGATTGAAATTGTTGAAAATTTCTTGCCGTTAGAACTAGGGAGTTCGGATTTGATTTTGGGAATCCAATGGTTGGAAACCTTAGGGTTATGTCGGTGAATTGGAAGACTTTGGTTATGAAATTCAGTTTGGGAGAAAGGCAGGTGGCATTAAGAGGAGATCCTGGGTTAAATAGGTCACCGGTTACTCTGAAGGCTTTAATGAGAGCCTTGAGACATGAAGGACAAGGGGTTTGGGTAGAGTTAGGAACTCTTGGTATGGAACAATCTGTCAAAGAAGAGAGAATTCCTCTGGAATTGCAAATGGTGCTGAGCAAATATGGGAAAGTTTTTGAAATGCCAGAAGGACTGCCACCGGTTAGAACTAAAGATCATGCAATTGTTTTGAAAGAAGGTACTATCCTTATAAGTGTGAGACCATACCGGTACCCTCACATACAGAAAACAGAAATTGAGAAATTGGTTAGGGAGATGTTAGCAGCTGGCATAATACAGCCAAGTGTCAATCCGTATTCCAGTCCAGTTTTGTTAGTAAAGAAAAAAGATGGAAGTTAGAGGTTTTGCGTCGATTACCGTGCTTTGAACAAAGAGACGGTTCCTGATCGTTTTCCAATTCCGGTGATCGAAGAGCTAGATGAGTTACATGGGGACAATTTTCTCCAAGATTGACCTTAAGTCGGGGTACCATCAGATTAGAATGAAGGCTGAGGACGTGTCGAAGACGACATTCCGTACACATGAGGGCCATTACGAGTTTCTCATTATGCCTTTTGGTCTTACGAATGCTTCAGCGACTTTTCAATCGCTTATGAAACGACGTTCTACGTGCCTTCCTTCGTAAGTTCGTACTTGTTTTTTTTATGATATACTCATTTACAGCCACTCCTTGGAGGAGCATGGAGACCACCTTGGCCAGGTGTTGGCGGTTTTACAGCAACATCAACTATATGCCAATGCTAAGAAGTGTAGTTTCAGGCAGCGTTCAATTGAATACCTTGGCCATATTGTATCTGCTGAAGGGGTTTCGGCTAATCTGACTAAGATAGATGCCATGGTTAATTGGCCGCCTCCTGCCAACTTGAAGGACTTGCGGGGATTTCTCGGACTAACGGGATATTACCGGAAGTTTGTGGCGGGGTAGTCAAATTGCAGGGCCCTTAATTAACTTGCTCCGGAAGGACAGTTTCTGATGGGATGCGGAGGCAATGCAGGCTTTTGAAAGGTTGAAGTATACAATGACACGCGTGCCGGTGCTAGTCTTGCCGGATTTCACAAAGCCTTTTGTTCCCGAGTCAGATGCTTCAGGATTTGGAGTGGGGGTAGTTTTGATGCAGGAACAGCGCCCTATCGCTTATTTCAGCCAAGTCCTATCTCCTCAAGCGCGGAACAAGTCAGTTTATTAATGGGAGTTGATGGCCATTGTTTTGGCCGTTCAAAAATGGCGGTCGTACCTTCTTGGGCATCATTTTTTGATCCGGACAGATCAACACAGCCTTAAGTACTTGCTCGAGCAGCGCTTAGTTAACATGGAACATCAGAAGTGGCTTACCAA